TGCTTCTAAGCTGTCACTTTCTGCCATGTTGCTTTGTCTGAACCAGAGGGGTTTCAGGATTGATGATTCCCTTTCAGCTGGCAAGCCACAGGCAGAATCTGACTTTCAGGAGGCAGGAACTGTTCAAGGCAGCTGGTAGTAACTGGGCAGTTTGGACAGAAGGTAATGTCACTTATGTTCCTCACACTCTCAGTTAATGCTCAAATTTGCTATGTTACAAATGCTGAAATGTGAAAATGTAAAAGGTCCAGCTACTGAAAATCTGTATTGGATGTTGATTATTCAGTGTGGCACTTTTACAAAATTATTTAACAGTTTGTAAATTGTTTTCCAAAACTAATTTATACTTTATACTTTTATACTTGTTTTCCAAAACTAATTTATTGTTTTCTAAACTAATTTATATTACAGACAGAATATTAGTCTGAGGCAGAGTGATCTTGATTTTCCTCTTTCCTGATATTTGTGGCTTTATTCTGGTACTGGTCCAGGAAAACACACCCATGAGCACCTCTAGAGCACAGTTCATGGTGATTTTGTTACTACATTGCTACCACGCATTGCTGGATCAGGATCAAATTGTTCCGCAGTCTACAGAATTAATGCCCAAGGGAAACGACAGTCAAATTCCCTTTATTTTCAGAGTCAGATAAGCAAATTTTACTTTGGTTAAGGAAACAATTCTCAATTTTATTTTCTCCTTGTAGCACATCAGAAGATGGAGCAGGTGGCCAGCTTAAAGCCTGACTGGGGAAGAACAGAGATCAATTAGCTCCCCATGAAAGGGAATATTACAGGGAAGGAATGAGGATAATCATATCTATTTTTCTTAATGAACATAAAACTGGCAAACACTTTACTGTTTGTCCCTAACAATGTAAGAATTAATTTACTTTCCTATTAATTAGGTCTCAAAAACCAAAAGGGTAACTTGGCATTGGAAATCCCTCTAGCATTTCAGCTTGGGAATAGTCAGTATTCTTTCAATTTAAGACTGCGGTAGAATATACTGCAGAAATGCTGTTGATGTTGCACACATTCATATTACATTTCACCTATTGTCATGCTAGAGGCCCATTGTAAATTAATTTGGAATATAGTTTTACAATGGCACTTTGCCTTCCAGTTGTATAATTTATTCATGTCAGAAATAATTTATTATATTCTCCCTTAAACAAATCTTTTCCCTTTTATTTTTTTCCTAGGGTACCACCTTAGTAAATAAAATCCATTGTTTACACTGAGCCTTGTGTGACTTCACAGTGGTCAGTCACTAACCTCAAGGGGATAGTTTTGGCCGTATTACTGGTCACTTATTTGTATAGATGATGGAGTGCCCTGGTCCCATCTGTACATATATTACTTTCTTTTGTCTTAGAGGCACTGTTGGAAAGATTAATTAGGTCCATCTGTAGGAAAGGATCAGCCTTAGGGGATTCAGGTAAATAAAATAAATGCCAAGGGAAAAAGTGCTGAGGGACATGTTTTGAAAATCAAACTGTTTTTCATAACATTAATGGGGAAATTACATACAGGAGATTTAAAGAAAAGTAGAATTGTCATTTAGTCTGGGTTATTTCAGCATGACCTGATAAACATGTCCTATTGCTTCTGTCATGTGAAAAAAGGTCTCTGAAGAGGGTCCTTACTTACTATAAAGTCAAATCCATGAGCAACATTCTCAGCTAATACAAATCAGTATAACCTTCTGATCTTCACTTTAGAACAGTAGAGACTTGAGTTGTGTCTGCCAATGATGTTATTTCTGTCCTTCAAGTGATCTGACATGCAGTAAATTGATCCTAATTCACATTGTCTTTATTTTTTTATTATAATGGTGCTATATACCTTATGGGTCTTACATCACACCTGTGTTTTCCTTTCCTTTAAGCTTCTTTCCGTATTTTCTTCCTTATCTTTCCTTCCCTTTCCTTCAAACAATTCAGCATGCAAATGAATCTCATAGCATTGAGCTAACTGATATGATCACAGATTGTAAAATAGAAACTCAGCTTTTACTAACTTTTATATCATTTATTAGTTTATATGAAATTAATTGGTGTAACTAGTGCATAAACCATGTTAAATTTTTTGCCATTCAAGTTACATCTCACTCTGTTGCCTTATCAGCCTAAGTGGGCATTTGTGTTCCACCATGCAGTGGAATTACAATCCACAATATTTTCATGAAACACCAAATGGAACAAAAAGACCATTTTTCTCACTGAGCTTTGGCTGTCTTAGGGACATAAATACTAGAGATATTTTGCTTTTAAATTTTTGTTGGAGCGAAGTTGGGTTCCTTTTGAGTTTGGGGTTTTATGATGACTTCTAAAAGCCAGAGAAACATGAAGGCTTATTTTTGAGAAAAAGAGAAAAAACATAAATTATTTAAAAGAAATGAGAAGCAGCATGCAGAAAGGATACAAAAATAAGTGTAACTCAAAGAGTAAAGGGGGAATGACTGCTGGTGATCAGTTCAACTACTGTGTGTACATGAAGAACTACGGGTGAGAGGGAAGCCACTGGCTCTGGAAATGCACATGCCTGTCTCTTGCCTGTGCTGGCAGCAGTGGACCCTCACTCCCTGAGGGAAGCAACTCCTTCTGGGGAACCTCGAGGTCTAATTCTGAATAGCTGCTAAGTCTGCATTGTGCAGTGCTGGAAGGAAACTGCCTCTCTGTATGAACAAGGTGTGAATCTGTACACATTGCCACAGAGAGGTAGTTAGACACCCTGGAGTGTAACTGGGTTTTTGTTTTAGGAGCTGTATTGTATAGGTGGAACATTGTCTCAATGGCATTTAGGTGAGATTATAACATAAATAAAAATGTAATTTAATATCTCTTTATTTAGGATAAATAGCTCAATGTGTTACCATTGCAGAATAGAGCCTTTATTGACTGAAGGCACTTCTTCCTTCCAGCTTGATGCACTTTCTTAAATGAAGGGTGTTTTGAAGTCTCCCTCTTGGTCCATGTGAAATAGGTCAATGGCCACAGGGCAACACCTAGAACATACATCCTCCATCCTAAAGACAGTCTCTTAGGTGACATCTGCTGGAATAGTTCTTGTTTTTGTCAGTGGGTCAGCAAACAAAAGAACTTAAATGGTCCTTTAAAGAATAAATTGTCCTTCCTTATAATCTTCTGAGCCAGTTTATTTTCTCATGTAGAGATAGGAGTTCCCGTCTGGTTTATGCTGCTCATACTCATTGTCATAGGTAGCTAAGGACCTTGTCCTGCAAAGACTGAGCCATAACATTTCTATTGGGTTCCAGGTGTACACATTCTGCAGGATTCTGGAAGCAAAGCTGGACCATGGTAGCATGTTTTCAGTAGTGCAGCTGGAAAGTTGAAACTGAGGGTCTGAGCAGGGCTTTTTCTTCATTGTTTTATACTATATACAGGATTGGTATGTGTTTGTTGGGCCTACAGCCTTACATTTGAAAATCTTAAATCTACTTACAAGAGGAAATTATGTGTGTCTGTCTTTTTTTTCACAAGTGTTTTTCTCTGAGGCGATTTGAAATTTTAAACAAAGTATTTCAGATGGAGACTTACTTATTGTCATTTACTAAAACAACTGAAGGATGCTTCATGCTCTGGTTTTTGTTTCTGGTTTGTGTTGATCTGTTTTTCTTTTTAGAGAAACCCTGTTATTGAAACCAGATATTCCTCTCTGAAATGTTAATTTCCTGCAAAAAACCTAGATTTTTCATCAAAATATTTCAGTTAAAGAGCTATTCCAGATCTCCAGAGTGTTCTTCTGAAAAGGCAGAAATAGAAACCAGTAGAAAAAGACTGACATTCAACAAATACTTGGTTCTGCACTGTGGTTCTTACTCAGGTGAAGTTCTTCCTGGAATAAAAAATGAGAGCAAATTTCAGCATATATAGAATCCTGCCTAACATACTAAAGTAACTCCCAGAACTATTCATTTTCTAGGAGCAAACACATTTTATACATAACTCAAGTAACCTATGTGTTCATTTTACAGAATCTAACAAGTGAAGAATGGTTGTGAATGTACCATGAAGCTGGCTCAGCAAAGGCTTTCCTATAATTAAAATACATCTGGCTCTGTTCTGAGTGGGAAATCACAGATCTCTGAATGTTTTGAGTGTTTCCTTATGCACAACAGCAGCAGAAAAACTCCATATGCCTTAACCTGTCAAATTCTGTTCCACTTTATCATGTGGATAAATAGCTGCAATAAGGAACTTTAATTTAGCATCTTTGATCTGAAACTGAGGGATTCAAAGCAAAGACAATGGAAATGGTCATGAAAGGTATGAAAGGCTCAGAACAGCACTCAAATCTTTAGCATACTGGTGTTAATTTAAGTGTGAAATAGCTTGCTGTCTTTCTCCATAATAGCTTGTGACCTACACGGGCATTGTTCTTCCTGATGCCAGTTCTGCACCTACATCCTCCTGCTGCCAACGGTGCCACAGAGCACTGAGGTAATGTGTGGCTGAGGCCGGGGAATGCTTTAGGCATTTTGAATCTTTGTCCTTCACCCTTCTCCAAGGGGAGACTCAGCTCAGGGCAGTGACAGCTTACTTACAGCAGTTTCCTATCCTGGAAAGGGCTGTGCTCCCTGGCACCCCATGGACCTGCTGGCTGTCCCAGTGAGCAGTGTTGAGGGCAGATTGGCAGAGCCGTGCGTGCGGGGGGCTCGGTGTAAGGGGCTGCTGTGCCTCGGCCTTGCCATGGTGGGGTCAGCCCAGCGTGAGCCTGGAGAGACTGCGCCTGCTTGGATCGCCCTCTGCCTTTCCTGCTTGCCTCTGAGGCTTTTCATCAAGTCCTCACTGTCCACCTCATTTGTGGGACAAGTGACAATCGGGCTCTCTTTCTTGAGCAGCCCCAGGAGGGGCAGCTGTGGAGCCTGCAAGGCAGGCGGCAAGCGGTGATAGATGGAGAGGGCAGGATGGATGGATGGATGGATGGATGGCCATGACTGGGAGGGGGACGGCTGTCTGGCGGAGTGGTGCTGACCCGGGGGAAGGGGTGGAGGGCCGGGTGGGTGTGCCCGGCTCTCCCTGCCGCTGCCGCCGCGGTCCGCCCCACTCACAAGGTGCCTGAGCCGGAGAGCGAGCAGCAGCGCCGCGTCCCCGTCGCCCTCCGCAGCGCCCGCCCCGCCATGCCCAACTTCGCCGGCACTTGGAAGATGAGGAGCAGCGAGAATTTCGACGAGCTGCTCAAGGCGCTGGGTGAGGCTCGGGGGAACCGGGCAGAGGGCTGTGTCCCGCGGGAGGGGACACGGCGTGGCAGCTGCAGCCGTGCTCCGGTGCCCGGTGTCTCCCGGGAGAGCTCCGAGCGTCGGCCGCGGGAACAGAGGTTTCCGCCTGTGCGGGGCATGGCTCAGAGTCCTACCCGGGGAGGGGCGGTCGAGGCACGGCACGGTTCCCACCCCACCTACGGGCTCCGGCGGTCCTGCCTGGGGAGCTGGGCTGCCGCCGGCCCGGCGTTCAGCCGCGGGGATCTCTGCGAGAGCCCCGTGTGCCGGCCGTGCGGAGCCTGCCGGAGCCCCGCAGCTCCCGAGCTCCGCAGCTGTGCCGTGGGGCTGCGCCCTGTGCCCCGGCCTCTCGCCCCGCTCCCCGATCTGCGTGATGCTGGCCGAGGTCAGCCGAGGGCACGGCTGGCGACTTCAAGCTCTGCTTCCTCCCCGCTTCGCCCAGGTGTCAATGCCATGCTCAGGAAAGTGGCGGTGGCAGCCGCCTCCAAACCCCACGTAGAGATCCGCCAGGACGGGGACCAGTTCTACATCAAAACTTCCACCACTGTCCGCACCACTGAGATCAACTTCAAAATCGGGGAGAGCTTTGAGGAGGAGACGGTGGATGGACGAAAGTGCAGGGTAGGAGGAGACTGGGGCACGTGCATGTGTGTCGGGCTATGTGTGTTACCAAGTTCTTTCTAGATGGGACAAACACATCTAGTGCCCATGTCCCCGGACAGCGGCATTGCTGCCCTCCACCCTCTTCTTAAGAGAAGTTCTCTTGGAGGTTCTTGATGATCACCGCTTCTCTTGTCCGTCTTTCGGGATAAAACTGAAATCTGATGACAGGTCCCAAAAGGAGAGTTCAGGTATCTGGTTTCCAGCTTGGCAGGGTTTAGTTCTGTTTTTGCTTCCCTCTCACCTGAAGACCTCAGCTGCAGTGAAAGCTCTCCCCAGCTTTTGTCCCTGACAGAAATATGGGAAATGGTGGAGCAAGAGAGACCTCAAGAGTCAGGATTTAGTGCATAAATCTGACCCAGCTTTTGTCCTAGATTGAATCAGGTGAGTTCTCAAGCAGGACCACAGACTGTTGGTGGTTTGGGTCTGAAATTGTGTTTCACACCCTTGCCAAGTGCATATGTCCAGTTTACTGATAGGCAGCTCTTTAAGTGTAAGACAGGCTTTCAGCAGATACTGAACCAGCCACAGTTACACCCTCTCCTTGAGCAGAAGAGCATTAGAGGGCATTCACTGGAGTGCTTTGGGCTTCATTCTGTGTGTGACACCCTGCTCCTGTACCTTTGTAACCACTTCTGTGGCCATAAAGGGGGATTTAAGTTGACAGCATCTGACAGCAGGTTCTTGCTGGTGTAGATATGTGGGATCTGAGCTTTAGGGACCTGGGCAGTGGTCATAGCTGCCTTTTGAAAACTGTTATTGAAGGCATGGGTTAATTATGCTTTCTTTGAGCAGTTTACTCATAATTATAAAGAAATATATATAAGCATATATAAAACTCTTATAAAAGAAATACAAATACAGATTATCGGAATGTAGTCTGAAATGAGGATCCAGTTTTAAAAGTATCCAGTGTTGGTGAAATAATCTGCTTTCCAAAATATGATCTCTCCTAATTCTTGGGTTGTTTTTTAAGACCATTTTTATCGTTAAGAATTCAGAGCTTACAGTCTTCAGTGCAATTGCTGTCAACATAGATTTATGAAAAAGGAAGCAGATTCTGGGAATCAGTGAATATTTAGGACATCCACTTGCTCTCTAGGATGAGTTATCGTATATTTAACAGTTTGTCCAGGAAATGTTGCTGGCTTTGTTAATTTATCTTGTTTGGCAAAAGGGTATTCATACATAATGCATATATGATAAATGTGACCCGCTTTCTAGAGAAGGACTTATTTCTGCAGATGGAAAACCAATAATTATGGCTGTAAGCTATGAAAGTTGGAAAAAATTGAAAGAAATGGGTTTTGTGAAGTAGTAAATTTTTTCCATGTGTCGTGAAATTATTTATAGTCCACTCTCAGGAATAAGTTGTACTGCTGTGTGTGTATATAACCAAGATGTGGCCACAGAGCAGAAACTGACAGATAATAAAATAATACCCCAGAATGTAGTTTGCAGTATCTGGCAAAACTGCTGACTGGTAATATATTTTCATATACTTTATGGGGTGGAGGGTTTTATACTGCCAACTAATCCATTGTTTGTGCAAAGAGGGAATCATATGCGGTTGTACTTCAAGGCATAGCTTCTATAACTGCCATTTGAGATGCTTGTTGGCTTATAAAATCTATTGTTTTGAAAAATATTTTAAAATTTTAAATTTTAAATCAAAGTAAAGGGTTTTTTCCCCTTGGAAAGTCTGAGAAGTGTTAACTTGAATTTAGGCATACATATGCACACACACAGACTAATAAATGCCTCCCCTGTGTAGTTATAAAGCAACTACTTGAACATTCTCTACAGGGTATCTTTATGCACAGCTGTTCAATTGCACTGTGGAGTAATAGTTCAGTGCTCGAGTGAAAAGCAACAGAGTCAGGGCTTGCCTGTTTGTGAAGGGTAAACAAAATCGTGTAGTTTGGGGTTCTTTTATTTTTCAGTGGTTTCATAGTCATTATTCAAATTCAAATGCTTTGAAAAATGCCCAAGGGTATTTTAATCTCCAGAGTCACAACCTTAAAAAAGTAATGCCACAAACATTTGAATTCTAACAATGTTTCTTTAATTTAGCTGTGATTTATTCTAGTTTGTTAGCTCAATGTGTTTACAGTTAGCTTGGCACAGTACCATAGAGCAGGAAAGATTGTAAGTGACAAATACTGCATTATTTATGACCACAACATGATATATATACAGTTGTTTATACTTTTAGGGGACTTTGTAGTGATAAATAACGTCAGATCAAATCATATGTGTATAAAGATGCTTGGAAATGCAGACACTACATTAGCATATTCCTAAATGACACTTTTCAACATCAAGCATTTGATGGAAACTGAGTGGCTTCACACTGAAAAGACATTTGCAATAACTTTGTTACTAATATATACCTCTTTCCAAAATTCCCCATCACACCGTAATTTTTGTTTCACCGCTTTTCCACTGGTGGTTTTTCCTTTGCCTTTACTTATCTATGTGTTGCTCATTTAGAGGAGCAATTATTCTCACTCCTGCTCATTGTTGTCTCTGTCTCGTGCTGCTGGGGACTATAATTAATGTATTTCCTAATGGTTTTCTTGCCTGCAGAGTTTGGCAACTTGGGAGAATGAAAACAAGATCTATTGCAAACAAACTCTTATTGAGGGAGATGGTCCCAAAACGTACTGGACTCGAGAATTAGCTAATGATGAGCTGATTTTGGTAAGAACCTTGAATTCACTCCATACATGCACCATATTAACAGGCTTCTTTGTTACCACATAGTACGAGTTATTGTTTTTCCTTACTTAAATCCAACTGGAAGATTACCATTTTCATAATCCTATGCCTTACAATTAATACGTTGCTTTTTTTCCTTTCTTTTAATTTTTTGTTTAAAAACATATGGAGATAAATGCATATTCTGACTTGCATTTGATTGTTAAAACTTTCACCATACTTGAACTGATAGAATAATCACAAGTTGGCCACTTCTGCTCTGTAAATTTACAACATCATCAAAGAATTTGCTTGATTTATTGCAGATTTTCTCTGGTGAAAGTGAGATCAAGGAATTTGACCTGATTTCTGGAGAATCTTCTTTTTAGGCATGTACATAATGTTGCTTCTTATCCATGGTCACATGGTATATAGCAGGAAAGATATGCATGTTGTTAGCATGCTTTAATCCCTTCTGTTTATGAAAAATAAAAAAAAAAATATTCTCCCATATCTCTGTCACATTCCCCAATTCCCTGACCACCTCTGAGTCAGATTCAGAATTGTCTTCATGAGTTTCTTAAAAATACAGAGATCTGTGCATTTGCTGGCAGCCAACATCCCTCCAGTGGTGTGTGACCTTCCATCTGGCAGCAGGCTGACTGTGGGCATTCTGAGCAGCACCTCTGCAATCTCCTGGCTGTGCCTGCCCTCAATCATGCACAGTTTGTTTATTCAGATTATACTTCTGTTAGAGCTCTCTTCACTGCATCTTTCCTCAGTGGTCACTCCACATTAATTTGCCAGTATCCACACCTGAGTCAAGACACACCAGCACAGTTCAGCTCGAGTTCAGAATCATTTTATTGCACATGTTCTTGCTAGTGAATTCTGGATAAATAGTTGATTAGATTGTTACGCCTCATCAGTTTGGACGTGGAAGACAGGCTCCTGGAGTGGTGGGTAAGAAAACTCGAAGCAGGGAGGTTTTGTTTTGAACTGTCACACTAACTAAACCTCTGCACTTTAACAAACCAACAGACTCCCCAGTGTTTCTCTAAAGCAGATGGAGTTCTGTTTTTAAGATTGCATCTGAAACAAAAACCCAAACCTAACCAAGTATAAACAAAAAGCTTCTAAGGTGTTAATATTGTCGCAGACACCTTGGAACTGTTCACCCACTCCTTATGAGGATGTGTGCTGTTAATGAAATCACACTGGTTTCTAATGAATGAATACTCCAATGCTGCATAATTTTTTTGACTCAAACACTGGAATTCTTTATATTATCACAAAACTTTAGGAGACAAAGTACTTTGCTCTCTGCTTTGCATCTTCAGGTGAAATGCACTGGACAAAATATATTCTCAACTATAACTTTTTGAGCTTTCTAACAATACATTTCTGTAGTTTTTTATTTAAGCAACAAGCTGATGAGGCAGCTGTTAAATAAAGTGCACTGCTCCAAGCAAAGCAAGAAAGCTGCTCATAATACAATTGCCTCCTGCAAGCAGCAATGTGAACTTACCCTGCTGGGGAAGAATAATGAAGCTGGATAAGATACCAGAGGGATTCAAAGATTTAAAGCCACTAAACCTTTTTTCTTTTTTAATGCAGTCTGTTGAATTTTTCTGAATTAATTATTTTTCCAGTTAGGATACAAATTACAACAACTTGCTTCTTATTAAAACATTTCCATTTATAGGAACTCAGAACTTTCAATAAGTTGGTTTACTGGTAATTTCCTTGCCTTAAAATATATACATTTCTTTTAATTTGTGTATGTGTAGATTCAACTTCCATTCATTACATATGGTGTCTAAAAGAACCTGAATAATATGCCTAAAATTTGTTATTGCAAATAGTTCTCTTAACACCACTGATCAAGCCACCTCTTAGAAGAACTTTCAGATTGTGGAACTAAACCACTGGAAAACCTTGAGTCTTTTGATGTAAATACAGCTTTCATTGAATCATTATTTGAGTGCTTTTTTAGCCCTGTCCAATTTATCAATTTCCCTCCTAAATTAAGAAAACCAGAATGGCATGTACTGTTTTGTTAGCAATCTAGCACCTGACATTATGGTGATTTAATCTCCCTACTCTTACCTAAAATGATCCTGATTTATATGCAAAGGCTTGGTTAATTCTTTTCTGGTTTCCATTTCCCCTTCTGGTCTCTGGCAAGCTGGAATTACATTCATTGGTTGCAATGTGTGATTTTACTGTGGCCATTATGAAAATTTGGTATTTGTTTCCAATGATCCAGATCATTCTTTCTGCGTTTTTTGCTATTCAATATGATATACAGTTTCATTCTCCTACCTCTTTGAGCATAGTGGCCTCTTTTGCTTTATTAATTATAATGACAGTAATTGGTCCTCAGGACAAACATTTTCAAGCCCTCATGACATTTGGTGGGACTAAATGTACGGATCTTTTAAATGCATGGGTTGATGTTCAAGGTCTGACAGTCCAAAGCTCAGCAATGAGGTGTTTCTGGGAGTAATGGTGTTGTGAGACCTCTGGTCCTTTGCAGAAGCCGAAATGGCCAAAATGAACCCTTCTGGGAGGCAACAAAAAGTTCTACTGTTTGGAGACAGAAGAGGATTAGCTACTTTTCTCTTGTCTGTGGTCCGTAATTTTAAAACCCTAGAACATTCCTTTAGAGAACTGGGCTTTAGAAGCTAAACTATTTGAAGTGATTGGCTGAGGTGTGTTCAGCAGCTATAAAAGGGAACAAGGTAGGAATAAGGACCCTTAGTGAGAAGACTCTTTTGATCTCTTGTCTCTCCACTGTCTTTGGGTTTTTCATCACTACAGTGAACAAAGATTCAATATTAGATTATTTTATTTTATGCTTGGGAAATTTTTTTGGGTCTGAGTTTGGAAACCCCCACTTACTTCTTCAAGATCACAATGAGAAGATGAGATCTCTGTCTTCTTTCTTCTTCCACCCTCGGAGCTCTCTTAGGGATCTTTAGGACCTGAAATTCATTCTCGTTCAGTTTTACTGCACTTATTGCTTCAAATATTTAACAATTCCCATCTTCACACTTCTCAAATCTCCCTGCTTACCTAACAAATCTTTTCTGTTCCTTCACTCTCCCTGATGTACTTCAGTAAGGCTCTGCTTCTGTTTCTCCATCCAAAGAAATCTTTCAAGAAGTCTTGAGATTTCTCATTCACTATTAGATGCATTTGCAGAAGAAATCAAGAAAAGTCATACCCAGTTTGAAAGAAGTTGCAAGAAGGGATGAAAACTGTATTAGACTGAGGCATGAATTGAAGAAAAGCTTGGGGTAGGAGGCAGGGGGTAAGGAATTAGTTTTACTCTGTTGGCTGCATAAATGTTGGAGCTTTGCCAAATAATTTTGATCTAAAATGATGCATTGCTTAGGGGATCCATTTGATTATGGTATTTTCCTAGTGTAAGGATATCTTTTTCTCTCCAACATATCTTATTAAATAAAATTAATTTATTAGCCCATATAATAATAATAAAAAAAATCTGTGTTTACTTGCCATGACTACCACAGAGCTAAAATAGAAACCATATTACTCAATAATTTTCAATCTTTCTTGCATCCTGGCAGAAGAATTCGTTATGTTCTTCAAAGATATTTCCTTGGAGTAAAATGATGGTCTTCCAAGTCACATCATGTTCTCTGGTACACAGATGCAGAGAATATATTGTTTAGTTAGCAAAGGCTTTCTTTACCTTCAGTTGCCTTCAGTTCTCCTTAGCTCCTTGAAGCATAGAGAATAAACTGCTTTTATTAGTAGATAAATAATATTTGTCTCATACAATGACAGATGTAGGCCCAAAGTCCTGTTAGAAAAAGAATTCTTTCAGCCAAAGAAGGGAAGGAGGATCAAGTTCTGCTTTATAAAAAAGATGGTCTGAAAATTTGAACATTGATCTAAAACTAGAACACTGCAACTTCTTTTATCAGACAGAGCTGTTTATTCTAATCTTGCTGGGCTGCACTTGCTGGGATTTCAGCGCTGCATTTTTAGAATTATTGGACAATGTAGATAAAAATTACATGGAATGTACAAGCAAGGGAGGGTGGAAAGGGGAATTCCCCACCAAAGTCCACATTTATTTGTCTTGACTGTATCTTTATATTGTATTGTACTTTAGGATTGTAATGCATACACAGAGTCAGGATATCTGTATTTACAACTCTACATTCATAAACTATATTTGGATTAGCATTTGAGCAATCAAGATGAGAATATAACAGGAAAATATGTATTTCTTTTATGTGTTTGAAATTTATGATCTAGAATTAAGTGCCTTTTCTTCTCTATTATACTCACAATGCTTTTGTTGTTGCAGTGTGTTTTTGTCAGGGACATTAATGAGCTATCAATCACTTATGTAAGTCAGAAGAACAAAAGGTCTCTCTTTGCAAAGTTAAAAGATGCTGCTTACAAATATTGGCTATTCAAATGAGACACATTTATATTCGAATTAGCTTTAGCTACATTGCTGCTTTCATGGCTGCTCATGCTTCTATAGATTTAAGTTTAATCTATAACACACAAACATTTTAAAGTGGATGATTACTGGAGGAGGGCTTTAAAAACAGCCTCTGAGCACATTTTACACAGTTCACCTATCACACAGGGGTTCTCAGAATCAATTGTAGCAAGGGTCAAAGAGCAGAACATTGATGGGGGTTCAAGCATGGTTTCTATTCTACATTCCCTCCTCAGAAAAATCATGCCATGCTGATTAAACCTGGTGAACTGTGGAGCCTAGATGAGTGAGTGAACATTTTAAAAATTATTTTGCTGGCTTCTGAAATTAAACAGTAGGTGAGAAGGGTCAATGCAGATTTGGAAAGAGATTTTGTGGCAGAATGCTGAAATGCATGATGTGCCTAAGCCTTGTATCAAACAGTGTCAAACTACCTAAGTGTTTAACTTTTCTATAACTTCTGGAGAATGATCTTATATAAAATTGATTATCAAAAGAAGGGTCGAGTCATATCAGGCTCAGATTGAGGGGGCTGCTGCTGTCTTCATTACAGCAGCCTTGACAGAAGTTCAGAAGCCTGTAATAATGCATGCGTGTGTGTTGCATGGACCTAATGCTTTAATTTACTCTTTGCCATGAGCAGATTTACAAGGGAGCTTAGGGATCTACAGCCCCTGCTCGCTACTACAGCCTTGTCTGGATCACATCCCAAACAAAGAAAGAAGCCAAAGCCATTTGCATTTTGGCTGCACCCAATCCTGAATGCAGCCTTTTGTAATATCACTTGTAGCTTAGATGTCCTCTGTGCACTTGGCTTTCAGCTATAACTGAGAGATACCACTGTCTCAGATCTCTGCCATTCGTTTGCTGCTTGACTTGGAGGAAATTGTGTCATATAGCAGTGCTCAAACACAAATACTGACATTTAGGCTCCTTGAGAAATCACCTAATTTTGCATGGTGCTGTCAATTGATATCCTGAGAAGCATGAGATTGTGTATTGGGTGATTTGCTATTAATAGCCAAGTTTGAGAGGGAGGCTGCACATTCAGTGACTATGGCCTTGTAAGGATCAACTTCTTTCCTAAAATATTATGGGAGTCGTGAGGAGAATGGAAATAGGCAACATGCCTTCGTTGTGAGGGTTTATATCTGTACTCTAGATAAATAGATGGAAATTTGCATGTGGACAAAGCCTTTATTGAGGATTCATTTAAGTAATACCTTCTTTTCTCCATCAGTTTGCTGATGGATTCTGTCTTCTTTTGTAGTTGCCTCTGCATTTTGATTAGTCATGAGCAACTAAAGGGATTTTTGCATACACTGGCAGAAGTGATCTTTCCCAGGTGATTGTTTCAATGACACTCTTCCTCATTATACTGTGTGCTCTACTTACCACAAAGGCTCCTCAGCAAATGTTTATAAAGAAGGCCTTCAAAAAGCAGATTTGCTCCTACAGAAATATATTACTGCCCTGTAATTCTCTTTTAATCTCTCATGATGTCAGTGGTCATCAGATTTTGAGTGAACTGAGAGAGGTCAATTTATTGGATTATCCCCCTGCAAAGGGCTTTGTTTGCAGTGTGCCTTTGGACTCTTAGCTACAGATTATGACAAGCTAAGAGAAGAAAACAATTCTTTAATTTGCAGTCGTTGCACATTTAAAATCCTATTTTAGATTTAGATAGAAGCCTTGCCTTGTAGCATTTTATGAGATAAATGGGATCTTTCCAAGACAATGAGAAGGTGGTGTTTGGAAATCCTGCATCTTTTTATTACATCTGAATTACATTTTGGTAGTATTGCACCTTTTTTGAATTACTCTGATGGAACTTCACCACCAAATTGCTCTTTCTCTTTTCATTTGGAAGTTCTACTGCTTTGGGTCATGGAAATCTTTAAAGTCTGATTATTGGAATAGGAACTATCACCACTTTTGAGTCTAGAATTAGAACCACAGACACTAAACTGCATTATCCTATCACCAAATAGAAGTATTTAAGTGTGAAGAACAGAGGAATAACACCCTTTGGATTTGGATCCTCCCCTTGCCTTGGGCCCAGCTGTACATTAGACATTTCTGTGAGTTACCACAGGAAAAGAATGCAGCAAGTTTGAACATGTTCCTCCTTGCTTTCTTTAGTAACACTGAGTGGAGTTTTATTAACAAATGATAGTCACAGTAAGATAGGAACACACCTTTTGTTCAAGTCCACATTTAAACTTGTACATAACTGTGACAATAAAGCCCTTTATTTATGTGCTTCATTTACATTGTTAATCATCTGAATGTGTATTAGGAATGAAATCTAAGTGCTAAAAAATGCAGCTTATTCTTGAAACAGGACAGAAGCCACATGAAGGTGGGTCTTCAAGGAAAGGATGTCGGTTGTTTTAGAAGTGCCCAGTGGTTACATGGTGCTCCAGAATAATTGTAATTGTGCTTTGCTTGATTTCTATCTCTTTGCAGTCTAGATTTAAAGACATTATTGTGTTAAATAATAGTGGTTTTCCAGACTGTGAGACTGGTGTGTTGAGGAGTCCTTGTATGTAGCAATTGATTTTTTTAAATTTGGGTTCCCTGAATATGTCCATATTTTCTGCACATGATTTTTGTCCAGAGTAACTTGAATGTAGTCCTTTGCCTGAAATTTTCAGAAGTCCAGAAGTCTAGCTGGAGCTGGATGTTGGAAGTACAAAATGAAGATCCTGTGTCCTGTGTCACAAACACGCTGAGCTGTGACTCTGCGAGTGCACAGCAGTCAATCTGTATGCTGCCACTCACCCATACTACTGAGCTTTCCCAGAAAGTCTTATGTCATTTTTCTTCCTCCACAAATGTTAATCTTTATTTCCACACTCCCTCCTGTGACTCTTCCAGGGAAGCTGCCAGTCAGACTACACTGATGTCTTAGGAGCAAGCTCTGCCCAGGAGCACAGTCTTAGAACTGGACACTGCAATTTCAGACCCTCAGATCTGCAGTGGCTCCCTTGCAGTATGAATCACATCTATTTCAATCTACTCTTCCCTGCAGTGTTCCTTCTCAACAGAACTGATGATCTGTTCTGAGAATAACTGCTGTTGCACAGCTTTAGAGGAAAGAGTTTCTCTCTTAACTTCCCTGAAAGAGCAGACATAAATTAGTCAGGGAGGTTTATATGAGTTTTGGCAAACTGCTGCTGCAGCCTTTCTCATTAGAACTGGCTGATGTGGCACCCACTCCCATCTCACGGGGTGGCTGCATGGCTGTGCAGCTCCAGACTGGGGCTGTGCCAGCTCTGGGAGAACATTACACAGGAACTGTTCTACTGCTGTTTATCATTTGTGTTGAAGTAGCAGCAGGGGACCCAAACCTCCCTGTGCTTAGCAGTGCCTGAATGTGAAAGACAATCACTGCTGCAAGGGTCTTACAGTCTCCGCAGAAAACCTTGAGCCCTGGATGGTCTTGACTCTTACCTCCTCTCTTTGGCAAAGCTCCTGCTGAAATAATTTTGCCTTTGTGGATAATTTGGAAATTTTGAAGGAAGCCATAATAAGGGTATTTGCAGCTGGTGCTGTGGACATTAGAGAACTATCCATATCATTAATGTTCATTTTCAGATGTATTCATGTATAATCTAAAAATATATATTAAGCACTGATATGATATTGATATGCATAAAAACAAAGTCTGTATCTCCAAAATACTAGCAGACTTGTGTCCGAAACAAAGTGAACAAAATATAAACCAGAGTTTTAAAGCTAAGTCTTTTCAAAGTATTGGCCAAAACATGTGTAGAAAGCATTAAAACAAATAGCCCAGCTGAATTTTCATAATGCACTGGGGTAGCTCTTAATGCATGCTTTTCAGTGAGACCTTGGCAGTGACTGCAGCCAGACATCCCACCTCAGAGCTTGTTAGTGCTGAGCTCAAAACCTTCTGTCAGCATAGCTGAATGTGAAGTTTTTTGCAGTCTCTATTTCCTCACTCTTGCCCCTATTGTTTCCTTCATGCTTAATTGCTTAAATTTTAGCCTGCCAGACCTGAAATTGCATACAAACACTTTGGGATTCAGTTGGCTTTCTCAGGCAGTCCTACAATCACTGTCCTGCCTACATGTCCTGATAATCTGTAGGGCATTCCAGGTCCTTATCATGGATAACAAACTCACTGGTTAAGGGCACAGTGTCCTCCTGAAGGAAGGTTGTCAGTGACACTGCCCACTCTCCAGAAGACAGTGCTTGGTGTCCCAGCATGGGCTGTCAGCTGCTTGCAGCAACATTATGTTTACAGGTGTACATTCTCCTGGTCTTCATCTTTCCTCCACTGACTTCATTTGCCTGCTTGGATTTATATCTGCAAATATCAAAGAATACCTTTGGAACGTGCCATCTGAATTTCACCCTCAGCATTTCTAGTTCAAAGTGCTGCAACTGATTCTAAATATAACCGCAGTACATTCCAAATTCACTTTATTTTCTCATGTTTATTTATCAATTCATGACAAGAAACTACAGAAAAAGAGAATTTATGCATCATTTATCATTCTGACAAAATCCATCCTGCCATGAAAAACAGGTCATTTACATTGCATTCCTCTTTCAAAATTACTTTTTTCTTTACTCTCATCTGTCAAAAGACATAAGAAAAAGTATTTCTGCTATAGAACTAGTTACTTTAGTAAAAATAACACTTTGAAATTATGTTGTTTGCTGGTTCTATGTCTTCTGATTGATTTTTATTTATTTTCCAGACCTTTGGTGCTGATGATGTTGTGTGCACGAGAATTTATGTAAGAGAGTAAAAACATCAATTTACTTGTCATCTGGGATGAAGTGTGAAAACCCCCAGTATAAGGAGTATCTGTGTGTGCTATTACTAATGCGGTATTGTATGTGACCATGTGTGTTATATCTTGTGTGTTTTGCTTTCAGTTTTCATTTCAGACACTATCCCTTCCCACTTTGAATGCCATCAATTTTCATGTCTGCTTTGTATTTTGTAGTTGTCACTTGCTATGGTTTCCTCAGTTATTAAACTTATTGGGCATAACTCACAGCTGTTTGGGGGTGTTTTTAATTGAAAAGCCAGCAGTGCTTTGGTTAGGACTGAAACACTTTTTCCCCTCTGCTGAAGTCAGTGTGAAGTTTCCTTGCTGTTGGCAGATCCTGAACTGTCAGGGAACACCTCCTAGGGCAACACAAAGGGATGGAGAGCAAGCGGATGGCAAGGCCTTTCACAGAGCTGCAGGCTGCTCTCTTGATCCCAGAGCTATGCTTCTTTCCTTCTTTCTGTCCTCTCTCCTTCTTTCTCCTCTCTCTCTATTGTTCTCTCTTCCTCCCTGTTAAGGAATAATTAGTTATACTGTGATTGCTGGGACTGTGATTCAGCTGAACCAGACAAAACAAGGTGAGATCTCTTCCCTTTCCTGCTGTGTCTCTGAAGAATGCCCAAACTTCCCCGTTGAGATACACAGTATCCAAATACAAAACCCAGCTGCATCTACAGGACAAATAACATTGTGATCATGACTAACACTTATTGTCATCACACCCAAGCACCTCAGGCCTGATCAGAGAGCCAGAAGAAACTGACAGACTTTACTTATTTTGGCCATAAAAAAAAAAAAAAAAAGAAGCTGAGAAATGCTGATTTTCTCCTACCTTCTCACCTGTGATGAGAATTCCCAATGGCTTCACTCCCCCTCCATGTAACAACTCTCACTTCTGGTGATTTGACCTTTCATTCTTTGAGCAACTAAGTGTTTCACAAACCAGGGCAATAGCTCAAAAATGAAAGAAACACCAAATTTAATGTATTTATTCTGGCTCAGAGTTCTGGCTGCAGCACTATCAAGTATGAGATTCAAGCTGAACAGACATTCCACTAATGCACCAGATAGTCTTCAGTTCTTCAGCCTCAGAAGTGTCTGGAGATTGAGACTAGGAGCACTACTTATTTCACTACAATATCCAATCTTATCTGACCAGATTTTATCTTTGTAAGAATAATTTTTCTGCTTCATGTCACACAATAATGTAAGATTTTTAAGAAGTTCAGTGTTAGCAGAATATATGCCTTGTTCAGTAGATTTTGCTCACTACTCACAAAAGAAAAATAGGACCAAAACTTACTCATCTTGAGACATCCATGACAAATTACTCTGTCTCTTCATCCCTCACATAGCTATGCAGAGAAATCCCCTTTGATAGGACTGCCAAACTGCCATGGAGAACTCGGCCAGCTGTTCTATTTATTGCAGTGTGGCCTACAGAGGCACAAGAGGAGAGAAACACACAGGGTTTGTAAGCTCTGACAGATCATGCTTACTTTCTCTGCCATCAGCACTCAAAATACCATATTGCAGCTGAAAAGAGGGTTCTTTTCTTCCACACTCTAACCTTAAGCCAAATCCTGCTTCCAAGACCTTGGTTCTATCGGTATCAATTAAATACAGTACATGCTGTCCCAGACTGAGGCAGGGGCTGAAATTAGTTCAGTGAGGTTTGGGTATAGCTGAAGCTAACCCCCACTAAGAACAAAACCAATAGGGAGGATGATAGGGATCTATCTTTATTTTCTATCTTCTTTTAAGATTCAAATTAAAATAGTTGGGTGTTTTGTTATAAACAAGTTCCACTTCAAAGTATCTGGATCTGCTTGTGCAATCAGCTGTCCCAAAGGGACTCCACAAAAAAGTGCCAGTCTTTGAGCTCACTCAGAGCTGCTCAGGGATGCAGACAAAACTGTCTTGCCACATAAAGGCTGAGCAGCCAATAACACTGTGTTGCAGGACATGTCTGCACAACTCATATCCCAGAGCACCAGGAGCCCAACAGCACCACAAAGGCTTTGCCTCCACCTCCAAGAAGCCAAGAAAAGATGCCGCTCTTAGCAATTACCTTTTCCACCAGTGTCTAAAACTGCCCTGATGCACAGCTTGTGAGGGTTCAGTCAGCTATTGGCATGAGCCTCACACTGTCTAAAGCCAGTGAGTGCATTTAATGGAAGCAGGGATTTCTGTGTTTCATTTCTAGGAAGGTTCAAGCTAAGCTGTTGTGCTGCTCAAGCAAATGTCCTTCAGAAAACTTCCCCATCAACTGGAAAATACCGAGTCAGGTTTCCATCCAGTTGGCAGCTACTATCCAAGTAGTAAAGCGTGAGCTATGTAACGAGCTTGTAGGAGTTATGATTAAAAACAGGCTCTGGAGATATGAGCTACCCTGAATAACTGGGAACTTTCTTCTTCCATGCTTGAAGCTGTTCCCCTAAACTTTGTTTGCAGTCTGGCATGACAGAAGTTCCTTTCTTTAATAATTTCAGTGTGGAACTTCACCATTTGATTTACTTTTGTGAAGTTACGATAAACTTACTGGTGCATGGGTAAATTCCTATGAACAGAGACAAGAACTGGTCCAGGGTGTTAGTTTTATGGCTCATTGTTGAAAGTGCAAAGGCCAAATTGCATTTTGTGAGTCCTCTTAGATTTAAAAGCCTTCAAATCTAGGCACTCAAGGATTTGGTGTGAATTTATTGGCCAAAAGTTTTGCAGTTGTCTCCTGCTTTTTTTTTAATTGCTGACATTTAGCTCCTTTGGGAACATGGAAGTTGAATAATGGCCAACAGAGTGAGTTTTATCCACTTTTTGTGTAAAAAGTCATGAATTCACACCCACACCCGCACCCCTAGATGAGGTGGCAGAAGCAGAGTAAAGTTACTGTAGCTTGCATCCACAAAAATGAAGTCTCATGATATCTGAGTGTTATATGGTTACTGAGCAGAACAGGATCCTGAAAGTTTCTCAGCACACAGGAGGGAGGGACGTTTATAGGCAAAGGTGCCAGGACAATGGAACACCTAAGGGTTACATAAGTGGTTTGTTGATTATTTGATAGCATGTGGATGTCTGAAAAGGGCCCCAAGGATTTCACAGATATTGCCTTCCAGATTCAAGTCAGAGAGATGCTGTCTATGGCTCTAGGCAATCAGGGACAGAGCCCAGCTCACATTTACACGTATCAGTGGGCAAGCAGAAACTTCCCTTCATACTGCTGTGCTCTAAGCAGCACTTTGTCACTGGAAACACTCTGAGGTGTCAAGCACTGACTGGTGACAAACATGGCCCACCTCTGTCAGGATGGCTGTGGATTGACCACTGGATGCAATAGCACCATCCCCTCATCTGCTGTCTTGCACATGTCTGTGCCCTACAAGCCAGACTGCTGAGCTCTGCAGTGCTCCATGCTGATGGCCAAAGGACTTTCTGACCACAGAAACCAATGCATGAGGGAACCTTCCTTGTGAGTGTATTACATACTACTGTTTATGTTTGAGAGCATTTATCCACACAAAGGCAGCAGAATGCAGCCAGCTGAGGTGAGAAGTCTTCCTCCTTGAAGTTTTAAGGCTTTGAATGGATAAGCCTTTGAATGAAAGTCCTTGAATGGATACAGTACAAGTTAGTATTTGGTATTATGCCTAAACATAACTTTCTACAGCTATTTTAGACATCCTCTGTATCTAACACATCTGTACAAACCAGAATCTTCAGGGGAGTCGTACCTTCTTTTGGAAGGGCAGCAGCAGACCAGGGACAAAGCCTGAGTGCATCACAACTGGGATGGCTGTGACTGAGAAAGTGACTGCCAGCATCTGTGCCTGCAGGCTTGGGACTGAGCACTTCACCTTCGATGCTGATAAACAACTACTACAGTGAGACAAAGAGAGGGTTATTTGGGTATCTGCAGCAACTAGGTACATGGGTAATGTTTCACAAGACTTGCTGACATGAGAGGAACAGTAGGATCCAGTGGCCATGTTCTCTGCCCTAAAGCACAGAGTTAATTTCAGTCTTTTCTTTTGATTTTCCATCATTTATTCTTAAGCTGCTTTCATAAAACATGTATTGTTTTGCTTCAGGAAAAATAAACATCCTAACCAATAAACAGATCAGACAGTGAAGTTGGATTCAAAATAATCCACAGTGGGAAACTCAAAATATGAAAAAAAAATTCAGCCAGAAATGTGATACTGCATTGAATAGTTCAGTTCACATATATCTGTCTCACCAGCTCTTTTTGTGTGGATCAGAGCTGTCACACTGCATGCTGTATGCTCTGGAGACCTAGTGCTGCTTTAGCTCAAATGATCACTTCTTGCACACTGAGTGCAAACAATGTTTCTGCTAACAGGAAGCCCCAAATCCCACATGGCTGCATTATCCAAAGTCTTTGAATGCTTTTAAAGTACATGCTCTCTGAGCACTGCCATGTCAGAAGTGGAACAACCTGATGCTCTGCCAACATGATCTGTGACAGGCAGAGTTCTTTGGACATGTTCTCAGAACAAAGAGGAGCATGGCAGCTAAACTCTTTTACAAGCTTGGGTAAGATTTGCTGTTAGAATTTGCTGTATGGTCACACACTGCAGTGAAAGAAGAAGGTGGTGAGGCTTGAAATGGTTTCTGCAGCAGACAATACCACAGTCTTCTGCCAGATATTGCTCTCTCTTGCACAAACCAGCTGCTCACGAGGAGAAGCAGTTCAGTTGCTCAAGCAGAAAGGATGTGACAGCGTAGGTGACTGTCTGAACTACAGATCTCTTAAAAGCCCTGCAGATATGTATCTCAAGGTTAATCTTCATAGGATGTTCATGTGGGGCTGGGGGACTGATTTCATCATAAGTCTGATGAGTTCACAGAAAGTTTTCAAAGGGATGGAGCTTTTGTGTCTAAGTAGCTACTGGTGCTGAAAGATAAAGGTGCAATTGGAGTTTCAGTGTTCTTACAGAATTGCAGATAGGAATAGCTGTAGTGGGTCAGTGTAAAGGTCTCCTCCAGAATTCGGTGCCTAAGACTCTTCCCTGAGACTTCTGTGAGCCTGCATATCAAAGTTACTCAGAAAGTTCTTTTGAGCACTAATATATAGTCCATGTCAGTGATGAGATTCTGCTGCTTTTAAGATGCTGATGATTGCTGAAGTTATTGCTTTCCATTTCTCTTGCTGCAGTTGGGAGATTTTTAAAATGTTCCATATGTGGAAGTTTATGTACAAC